ACAAACTCCGAACCCTAGTTTGGGAAATCCTGCTTTGATAAGCATGAAAATACATAATACACAAATATAGGGTAAATTTGACAAATTTTAATTAGATTGAACTAATTTTACCTAAACGTCTTGCTATAGAATGAATTAAATTCATAATCATCATTTTATCATCCATTTAAATAGATTTTTTCATAATTCATTATGGAACTGTATTGTCTCTGAAGATTATATGTGACGCTATCTTCAGATTTGCCCAAAATAAGGTATCACAAAGAAACAACACAAAAGAAGCAGCATATTGTGGTGCTTACCTTTAGGAAAAGCGTTTTCCATGGAATGCATCTATAATGCCTTCATGCCTGTGCAGCCAGTTCACAAAATTTTGAAAGAGAGAAAATATGCTAATATTATATATTAAAGTAAGAACAATTTAAAACGGCAACAAGGAAAACCTGATAGCAAGAGGGCTAATGGCTGTACCATATGCTAGTTATAAGTGTTGCTAATATATTTTTTATGATAGTGAGTAATTTCTTTCTGATTTGCTCAAAATTCCTGTGTTCATATTGTTTTGATGTCACGTATGTGCCTCATACACATGCCTGCTTCAGTGGAGTTTGTATGTGCGCTTCTCTCTTTTCTTTGTAGTTCATAAAATGAGCATATTGAACATGTTAGAAGTCGGGCCCTGTTTTCCTCTAGCTTAAAGGGTTAGTTCACCCAAAACTTAAAATTCTGTCATTAATTACTCACCCTCGTGTTGTTCGAAACCCGTAAGACCTTCGTTCATCTTCGGAACACAATTTAAGATATTTTTGATGAAATCTGAGGGCTCTCTGACCCTCCCAAAGACAGCAAGGTAACTACCACGTTCAAGGTCCAGAAAAGTACCAAGATTGACAATGTAGTCCGTGTGACATCAGTGGTTCAACTGTAAAGTTACGAAGCTACGAGAATACTTTTTTTGCGTGAAGAAAACAATGACTTTATTCCACATTTTCGTCTCTACTGCAGCACTTGTGGACGCACGTTCATAACAGTATCATGACGCGAGCAGGCGCCGCCACACGCTCGCGTCATGGTACTGTCCATCCAAACTGAAATGGAACCTCATAACTGAGCGGAATTAAAAACACTCTACATAGGCAGAAACAT